AAAAAATAAATATTAAAAATTCTCTCTCTCTCTCTCTCTCTTCTCTCTCACTCTCTCTTAAAAAAAAAAAAAAGTAAATTAGGCTTTGGGTTCTCAGATCCTATTTGACAGATCTACTTCGCTAAAGCTCCAGGTGAGGTTATCTCCGAGTATGGTTTTTTTTTTTTTTCCCCAGCAAATAGAATTTCCCTCACTATCAGTGTGGCTCACTTCTTTTTTGCTATTTTTGAATTGAGGCTACTTTCATTTATACCTTCTGTAGAGATGTTCATAGAATATATTTTTCATGAATAATATACTATCTCTGATCTATTGGGCTTTAGTAGACATGCCCAAAATTAGTATCTATCTCTTATCACAAGGCTTGTCACCTCTTACTTTAACTCTCACTGGAATGACTGACTTAAAAAAATATATAACTTCTAAAGAGAACACAGGGAACTTACAAGCTTGGATCTTTTTTCATACCTTTTCTCTCTGTTTGCATTACTAACAACCTAATTCTCACAACAATTACCCTGATTCTGCAGTTCATCCAAGTCCATGAAGCGGCTGGGATGAGGGTTAAACCCTTTAGCAACCTCTAATTCCTTCTCTCGTTTCCTTCGAAGTTCCTGTTCCTGGGCCCTCCTGGTCACCTCTTCCTGCAATTCATCCAGTTCACTTTTAGAAGATACCTCCCCACCTAGGACATAAGCAAAGGAGAAGCTAAATCAAAATTTCTATAAAAAAGATAAAACACCTGCTAAATTTATGACTACTTTGATATAAGTTTTTTTTTTCTTTTGGAACTCTTCTCTTTAATTTGAAGTAAATGTTTTGAATACTGATATCCATATCAAATTCTGGACCCTGAATAATAAAAATCACAGCAAAACAAAAAAAACTATGAACATTTGGTATAACAACATGACACCTAACACTTGCTAAACATTTTCAATGTATTAGGAACAGTTTTAAGCACTTTTACATATATTATTTAACACTCATAATTGATGATGAGAATTACCTTCATTTTAGGAATGAGAAAGTTGAGTCATGAAAAGAGTAACACAGTTGGCAAAAGATAGAGGTAACTTCAAGTCACTAAGTTAAATTCATAATCCATGCTCTTAACCAGTAGGAAGCACTCTATCAGAGCTTCAAGCAAGTCATTTGGGCTTCTCGCCCTTAATTTCTTTCTTCCTTTCTTTTTTCTTTTCTTTTCTTTCTTTCTTTCTTTTTTTTTTTTTTTTTTGTGGTGCTAAGGATTAAACCCATGGCCTTGTGCATATGAGGCAAGCACTCTACCAACTGAGCTATAGCCCTAGCCCTCGCCCTTAATTTGTAAAATGTCCACAGTAGTAAAAACTCCACTGCATAAGTGTTCATAGATTTAGAATGATTTTCATAATAAATTGTTTATCATGTATTATATCATGTATAGTATGTAGTAATATATATAATATGTATAATATGATTTCTTCTTTTTTTGGTACTGGGGATTGAACTCAGGGGCACTCAACCACTGAACCACATCCTCAGCCCTATTTTGAATTTTATTTAGAGACAGGGTCTCACTGAGTTGCTTAGTCCCTTGCTAAGTTGCTGAGGCTGGCTTTGAACTCGCAATTCTCCTGCCTCAGCCTCCAGAGCTGCTGGGACTACAGGCATGCACCATCATGCACGGCTCACTTTTTTTTAAATGGTGTTGAGAAGTTGGAGATATAATTCAGTGGTATAACGCTTGTCTAGTATGCGTAAGGACCTGGATTTGATCAGCAGCACTATAAAAAATAAAAAATAAAAAAATAATGGTGAGGGATGGGGATATGGCTCAGTGGTGGAGTGCTCGCCTAGCACATGTAAGTCACTGGGTTTGATCCTCAGCACCACATATAAATAAATAAAATAAAGGTATTGTGTCCATCTACAACTAAAAATATTTTTTTAAAATGATGGTGACCCATATATATATTTATATTTATATATATACACACATACACACATACATACATATATACCTAAAGTATGTACTGTATAAGCATAAAAAAAGAGGTAGAAATATATATAACATAATGATAATACTGATACGTTCGATTTCAGGAGGCAAAAGCAGGTTAATAAATTATTCTGCTTGATTTACTTCTATAATTTTTTCACTTTTTATTGTTGCATTATAGTTGTACATAACTGTGGAATTTGTTGTTGCATATTCATACATGCACATAATATAGCAATATATTTGGTCTATATTACTCCTCAGTATTTCCCTTTCCCTTCCCTCCTTCCTCCCTCTGGTCTCTTTCCTCTACTCTAATGATTTCCCTTCAATTTTTAGGAGATCCCTCCAACTTTTCTGTTCATTTTTCCTCTCTAGCTTCCACATGAGAAAAAACATGTGATTGTAGTTTTTTATTTTTTTTTAAGTGATTGAACCTCAGATAAAAAGTGCCATGCCGGGTGCAGTGGCGCACACCTGTAATCCCAGCAACTCGGAAGCCTAAGGCAGGAGGATTATGAGTTCAAACCCAGCCTCAGCAAAAGCAAGTTACTAAGCAACTCAGTGAGACGGCATCTCTAATAAAATATAAAAAAGGGCTGGGGATGTAGCTCAATGGTTAAGTGTCCCTGAGTTTAATCCCTGGTACTACCCCCTGCTAAAAAATATGTGCCTTAATAGAATGATTAGATCAAACTGTGGGACCTGTAGGGCTTATTATACAAAAAGGATGGTGGAATTATATGTTAAGGGAAGAATTTTGGAATTATATGTTAGGGGAAGAATTTTGTCATAACTTTTTTTGTTGTGAATTTTGTTGTGAAATCCTGTCATATTTTATGTAGCTGATCCAGAATTGAGGATTACTGGGGAAATCACTCTTTAGTATATTGCAAAGGTACTGACTATCTGAAGAAGGGAAAAAAGGGCAATATGCTTATGTATGATCACATGTTTCTTAAAAGAATGTCACTCAACATGAAAGAAATTAAAATGTAGGAAACAAACAAACCAAATGTGTAACTTCAATGGGAAGCATAAATTTCTTCCACTGGTCTCTAATTTACTCTAACCCAGTATTCCTAACGTATATGACTCTATGGGTATTACTCGGTTCTACCAGATGTCAGCAACCTATAGCACACATATTAAAAAACTAAAATGGTTTGTGTATTTTTATTAATACTGCTGCATACCCCCTATCCAACCACCTGTAAGAACCTTCAGTAACTGTCAAGAGACTTGGTAGTTAAGACTAGGATGTACAGGCAAGGGTAATGTTAAGTTTGAATCACTAATTTCACAGTTTTGCCCATAGCCTATATGTCCTTTCTGTATCTCAATTCATAGTACTAATCAATAATAAACTAATTTCTGAGGAAGCTACCCCTATACTAAGGAAAACACTAAGATTTATTCTTTTTAAGAATGGAGTTGTTATTACTGCTGATCACCAATTTTTTCTCCCTTTATTCCCACAAGGACTCTCTCCAAAGTAGAAACACTGAGGCAAGTCATGATACAGAACAAAAAAAAAAAAAAAAAAGATAAATCCAAAGATGGAGCAGCTAGAAAACCTCCGTATTAACATTCTGAAGATATACTCAAACTATAACTGTCCTCTAACTTATTTAAATCTACTCAGGTAAGGCTGTTCCCCAAATAGAATTAATCTTCAAATCCAGTCCTCCAAATCCACTGTCCTTCTGCTTACCTGAAAGGGGTTGAGTTTTTGTCCAGCCACTCATGGATACTGTGGAGTCCACCTCTAGGATGCTACTGCTGTGAGACTTTGGGATATGACGCCAAGAAGGGACTATCCCAGCTGATCTCTTAGCACTTGGATCCCTTCAAAAAAGAACCCAGAATCTAGTAGAAGCATCAGAAGGGTGATTACTTGCAATATTAACAAGACTAAATTCCTACAACAAAACATCAAACTAATATAATTAAAGTTTCTGAGAGCCAGGCATGGTAGCACGCACCTGCAGTCCTAACTACTCAGGAAGCTGAGGCAGGAGGACTGTTTGAGCCAGGAGTTCAAAGACAGCCTGAATATAGCAAGAGCCCTTCTTTTTAAAAAAGGATGGGGAAGGGGAAGCTGGGGATGTAGCTCAAAGGTAAGCACTTGCCTAGAACATGTAAGGTCCTGAGTTCAATCCTAGTATAAAACACACACACACACACACACACACATACACGCTACTGCTAAACTTCTTCTGGAAATTGAAAAATATTACAATCCCTCCATTTTCAATTCCACTCGTTTCCTCCATTTTATCTTAACTCATTTACAATATCTTATGCTTCTAACATACATAGTATCTGACACAACAGAAACTTAAAATAATATTAAATGAATTAATGAACATATTATATATTATCTTCCCTTTTCCTGCTAAATTTTTTTCTTTTTTTCCCTTGTGGTGGTGGTGGGGACCAAACCCAAAGCCTTGTGCATGCTAGGCAAGTACTCTACTACTGAACTATATCCCCAGCCCAATCTTATTAAATATTTTGGCATTATCTCATGTGCAAAACGGAAAAGGGTCCTGTGCCTACAGAAGAAGAGTGGCAAAGAATGAGGATATGATATCACCCTTGCAGAAAATATAATCTTTCCTTTTAGAGCAGCTATACTATTAGTGAAATTGTGTCTGTGGCAACTCAGTAAAACTAATATATGTAGATCAAAAACACATAGAACAAACTGCCTTACAAGTAGAATGCAATGAACTCTGTCTAAATTGTCATCATTATCTTATAGGATTATGAATATCACTGGCTTCATAAAACCCAGAATACCCAGTTACCCTAAAAAACCAAACAACAACAAAAACTCTTTCAAATTAGAAAGCAAGAATAAGTAACAATTGAGTTTTTTCTGATTATAGAATTATAAAGGTTTGCTTCACTAATTGATTCATTTGTTGAAAATTATTAAGTAATTTAAAATACATTTTAAAATTATATATATTTAAGATATAGAAAATTATGTTATAAGATACACATAAGATGATAAAAAGATTATTGTAAGTGAAGCAAAATGAACATAACCATCATCTTATATAGTTACTCTTATTTTTGTGGCAAGAGCAGCTAAGATCTCATGTAACATGAATTCTATATACAGTACAATGTTAATACCTATATTCCTCATTGTTGTATATTAGAACTCTAAACTTGTTCATCCTATGTATCATCAGGAAAATTTGAAACAGTTACTTTGCTTTTGGAATCGAATCAGGGGTACTTTACCACTGAGTTTCAACCCCCCAACCCTTTTAATTTTGAGGCAAGTTCTGGCTAAATTACTTCGGTCCTGGCTACATTCCTAAGGCTGGCCTCGAACTTGTAATCCTCCTGCCTCAGCCTCCTGAGTTGCTGAAATTACAGGCATGAGCCATCAAGCCCAGTAAAATATGGAACATTTCACAAATTTACACATCCTTGCAAAAGGGGCCATGTTAATCTTTTTTTGTATTCTTCAAATTTTAGTACAGATGCTGAAGTAGGCACTAAAGAATTATTTTATATCTGATACTTGAAAGCTTTCTCACTTCTTAAGCACCTTTGTTCTTCCTGCCAGCAGAGGGTGCTGCTGCTATATAAAGTTGGTAGAGCACATAGATAATATTAAAGCCCATTTCTCAATTTATTTAAACCATGGTTGAAAACTCCAATTAGGTGGCTCACATTGCTGCAAGGGACAACACCTCTATTCAAAATCCAAACAATACCTGCAGATATTAGAGCTCTCAGGCAAGGCTGCATCCAGGCTGACAGGGCTATTGCTGTTTCTCTCACTGCTCTCATAACCAGATTCCATTCGCTGGATTAGGCGAGGTTGTTGCTCTAAAAGATGAGAGGTTAGTCGTGCTGAGCCCCAGGGTTTGTACTGAGGGCTTGGTCCAACAGGTTTAGTGTTGTAAGCAGGTGGCTTGCTTGGTTCATCTGGTGTAAATTCTTTAGCTATCCCAATAAAAGGACAAGCAAGGAAAAGGAGGTAATTAAACATCTGCCTATATAAAGACCTATCCCTCTCTCCAACCACTCATTCATTGAACTCACATTCCCCCTAAACCAGACATCAGAGTAAAAATGTACCTTGCCAGGTATATCAGAAAATCAAATTCTTAAAAATACCATCATCTTTATTATAAAGTCCAATTCTTCCCTAATTATCTCCTTACCTGAGTCCTCAGCAAAAGGGCTAAGCTGGGTATAGCCACAATGCTTCCTTTTGTCCTTACTAAAAATACTGTCAATATTCAGAGATTCTCGTTTGGGTCTCCATGTTGGACGATACTTGCTAGAAGAACTGGATTTTGACTCACTGCTGGTACTCTCTATTTCCCAATCATGAGAGTGTATACACAGGTTCCTAAGAGGTTTTTTGTCAGGTTGGTCTCCTCCCCTACCCCCACAGGGAGATCCTATATTGGTCTGAGAAGCCAGGGATGGTCTGTTATGAATTATATTGCTGACTGTCTCTTTAAAATCCCTTAGCCTGTTGGTGCTGCTGGATGATTTGGAGGCGTTCCTAGGAGCCTGTTTCTCTTTCAGTGTTTCTCCTAAAAAACACAAAGAATGAATCAAATATAGATGTTTAAAGTGATTAGAAATACCCAGATCATAAAGTCCAGAAAGTAAGGAAAAACCCTTTGAACAGAAAGGAGAAGCCAACAGTCTGAATGTGACACAAGTTTGATAGGAAATGAAAATGAGAAGCAATGCAGAAGCTTGCCTTCACTGTGATATCCTGAGGCCTGTGGCTCATCACCTTTCCTCCTAAGACGGCCAGAGTTCCTCTTGCGCTCTACTGGGGACCCTTTCTTGGATGTGTGTTTCTGATTACATTCACTATCAGTCAGATGTCCTAAAAGAACAAGGAAATGGGAGTAAGCTGGTATCTGAGTTTCCTCCATCCCTTGAGAGCCTAGGGATTCATGGCAGTACCACAGATTAGAAGCATTTGTGGCCAAAGATATCTATGAATAGGTTTCTCTCTGTAGATAAATGCAGAGAAACTCAGACATTTAACAACAGCTTCCAAATGTAAAATGTCTCCTGAGCAATTACCAGACTCAAACCACACTCATAATCTTTCCAATGACCAGAAGGACTAAAGACACATGCTTAGTAACTTTTTGTTTTGCCTCTTTACTGCTAGGAATCAAACCTAGAGCCTCGCAAATACTAAGCAGGTACTCTACCAGATACATCCCAAATCTTGGTAAATTTTAAAAGTAAGTTTTAAAGCTTCTATAAAAATGTCATGTATATGTATATGTATATATATATTTCACAAATTGAATAAAGAGTTCTTCTTTATTTGGCAACACATATTAAGTGAAGTTGGATTTTTAGTACATTTGGTATTATCTCATGGGCCTCAGCATTTGATCAAAAGAGTTCTGATTATGTATGGCTTAAAGACCCAGTTCTAAACAGTCCTTAAATAAGCATCACTTAAAAAGACATTTCAGGGGCTGTAGCTGTAGCTCAGTGGTAGACCGCATGCCTGATATGTGTGAGGCAGTGATTTTGATCCTCCGCAACACATAAAAATAATAAAATAAAGGTAAATAAATAAATTTTAAAAAATAAAAGACATTTCAATTTTGATTAATTCTCTTTTTCATCTTCTACCCATGCTTTGCCTGACTCAACTTCACCCAGACATTATATTTTATAGTCCCTCAATAGTAATTATTAGGAAACCCAGGGAGGCTGGGATATTTTATGCAATTTTCCCTGCTTCATGCCCATAGCAGACAAATGTCCTGAGTATGATTCTGACTTTACAACAAAGATTAGGTTCTAAATGATATAGTTAACTAAGCTGCTAAAAGCCAGAAGGTGAATTAAATTTGAAGACATGCTTAGAGAAAACTCCCTTGCTTCTCAAATACACATAGAGTTAACAGAAATTTGTTTTCATGTTTGTATATGAAAATCCTTGTTGATATTCAGGTATCATCAAAGTAGTGATATGGATACCTATTTTCTACCAATGGCTCCATATATTCTTTTATTGCTTTTTTTTTTCTTTTGTTGTATTTGGGCTGACAAAAAAAAAAGATTTAAGGAAGGAAGAAATTACTTGGAGCAACTAAATCTTACAATGTAAAGACAGGTCCCATAATCAAACCTTTATTTAACATAAACCTCACTTTCCTAGAAAAAGCACCCAGTTTATTGTTGTTCTGGCTTCTCCCTGGTTCACTATTTCAGAAATATGGCCTTATAGTCACACCTAACACCATCTATGCAGCAGTCATCAAAAGAAATACAACATGAATTTGATCAACTTCTAGGTCTAATTACCAATTTATGAGAAATAAGAGAAAAAGTTAAAGTATACCTAGGGATAAAATCAGCAAAATTCAAAATGTAAGAAATGTACAGAACAAAATACCTAGTTCTTCAACAATAAATTGCAAGGAGAAAAACAGAGGCAAAGCCTATAAGTTAAAAGTAATCTAAAAGACTCAACCTATCACAATGTACAGACCTCATTTGGATTTTATGTGAAACACAAAAATAATTTTTAAAATATGACATTTATAAAATAATATTTGAACACTCATTGGCTATTTAGTGGTTTTAAGGAATTATCTTCTTTGTGGGGGTGGGGCCAGTGCTGGGGATCTAACCCAGGGCCTCATTTATGCTGGGCAAACATTATTCCACTGAGCTATATCCCCAGCTCTCATTACTATTTTTAAATGTAATAATGCTTTGTATAAAAAAAAAATTATGTTTTGGCAACACATACCAAACTATTTATGAAAGAAATACAATGCTTGGGATTTGGTTCAAAATAATTCAGGAGTGGGAAAAGTGGGTATAACTAAATTGGTTATGAATTATCATTACTAAACTAAGTGATGGGTACCTAAAGGGGCAGTATACTCTTCTATATACTTATGAATGCGTGAAATTCTCAATTAAAAAAGGCCAGACAGAGATTATAACTCCCCAATATAAAGCCAGAAACTCACAAATTCCCCAATTTCTTAAGAACACGGGCACTGGGCTAGAGTTGCGGCTCAGTGGTAGAGTGCTTGCTCACATGTGTGAGGCACTGGTTTTGATTCTCAGCATTGGATGTAAATAAATGAATAAAATAAAGTCCATCAACAATTTTAAAAAATATTGAAAAAAAAAAGAGGCTGGGGATATAGATTAGTTAGTATGAGTGCTTGCCCTAGGTTCAATACCCAGCACCAAAAAACAACAACAAAAAAAGAATATGGGTACTGTTTTATGCCTCAGATGTTCTATCTCCCATGATGAACTTTTCATCTCAGGATTCACTCTATTCTTTCTTGTATTCACTATATTGGTTTCTTCCACTGACGCAGGTATACTCTCCTACAGATAAAATAATTTAAGAATGTTCTCTGTGTGGAATGCACAATGATAGCAAATAACCGGAGAAAAACAGACTTTAGAAATAATCACATCAAACAATCATATTACAATGGCCCTTATTGATTTGTTGCTGTTGACAGGAGTGTGTGCAATGGAGTATCATTGTTCATTCAGAAGTGTGTTGTTTCCTTGCATTCCACATAATTACCCAAGTTCTGTGCCTTTCTACCCTTCATGGCAAACATTTCTGACTTGCCTCTGTTTCTTTTTCTTGGGAGACCTTCTATGCAGGAATTGAATTAGGCAAGAAGGGTCCTCTGTGTAAGTCCCTACCTGTGTCCCGACTGCTCTGGGACATGGAATCATTCTCCACATTACAGATGACTGTCCCCTGAGAATCAGAAGAGAAGTGACTGACCACAGACTCATGGTGGGAGTGTTTGTAGGGATAGCTCTCTGTTGAGGAATCTGTTCGAGTGTCACTTGAGATGGAGGGCTCCCTCCCTAAGGGAAGGAGGAAACACATATGCAAAAGTGAGGAAAGACAGTGACAAAGAAGAAAAGAAATGGATGCAACAAAAGACTATAAAGCAAGAACCTCCTGGAAGGGTGAGAAAGATATATTACAGAGTCATTCTTCTTAAATTCCAGACACACATAAAATTCCTTCCACTTTGCCCCTAACTTGTCAAAGCCCTCACTTTGCCTGCCACTGTGCAAAACTGTGGGATTTGAGAAAACCTATGGGGAAAAAGTGGAAGAAATGAAAACATTGTGGGAGGTAAGATTGATTTGGATGGAAAGTCCCAGGCCAACCCTATCCTATAATATTTTTCCCAAACTGCCATGAATGTTGCTATAAAATTTTAATTGACATTATATGCATTTTTAATACCACTGAGAAATTATGAGGCAGATATCTAATCTTTGGTTTTAATTAGTTCAGTGAGAATGCTTTCTTTCAAACACCTAACTGAAATATGCACAGTAGATCAAATGAGTGATTTAAGAGAGAAGTAAAACAGGTCTGTGTGGGGTACAATAAGTATGAAGAAAGCACCAGATACCAAGCAGTAGGGAAGGAGAAAAATGTCAAATCCAAATATCTTCTCCTTCATAAATATACTAAGAGTCACTGCTATATCCAGAAGAGGGAAAATTTTTTTTTCTTCTTCCTTGTCAGAAATCAGACCAAAACTATTAAGATTATAGTTCAAATATTAAGAACCTCTATGGGCTAGTCTGAGACTGTAGCCATCAAACTGAAAACTGTTTGCATAGGAAATCATTTAAGTTCTAAAAATTTGACTCAGAAAAGAGAAATTGATTTATAAGTGAAGGAATATCACTCTTGCATTTGGAATTTTAAAACAAAATTCTCTTACCATCCTCCCAAAATGATTAGCTTTACAGTGATTCAATTTTTTTTGTCTTAACAATTCATTTAAGTCACTGTTAAAATTGCTAGTAAAAATCAACCCTCTTTACTAACATTAGAAGACTAATTACTTGAGGTCTCCCTCACAAACTTAGTTTCTTGGTGTAAATAAACAGTTTCCTTCTCACTTCTGAGCTGGGGCAAACTGACTTAGGAAACACACCTTTGAAGGCAGAAGAAAACAAAGCCTGACACAAGTTAGGTTTCAGCACAAGTTGTCAATTCTTTCTTATATATAATGGATCCTCTCTCTCTCTAAGCTAGGCTGTGTGCTAAGCACCCAAATATGAGTCCCAACTATCTGAACACATGGAATGGGAAGGGGGAGAGGTAGAGAAATAGGTTGCTCACCTGAATCTTCACTATCATAGCATGTCCTGCTGTATGACTGGAACTGAGCTTGGGGAGGCAAGTCCTGGGTAGACACTGGGGTACCCTGGGGGTCTGCATAAAGCAGCAGCAAGGGCTGATAATGTCCCTTGATGCATTTGGTTACCACATCCTTCCATTTGGGGCCAATCTATATCAAAAACAATCAGAAAAACATGACAATTATACTTCATATCCACACTTCAAAACATATCTTCTTCTGCAGCTTTACTAAAGAAAAGGGTAAAGAAACAACAAAAAAGATCTTAGACTTAAACTTAATAAATCTTTTTGTTTAATCTTTTTTTGCTAAATCTTTTTAGAAAGCATTAAAAATTCCATAAAATTGGGGCTGGGGCTGTAACTCAGTGGTAGAGTACTTGCTTAGCATGTGTGAGGCATTGGGTTCGATTTTAGCACTCCATATAAATGAATAAATAAAATGAAGATCCATCAACAAAAAAAACCCATAAAATAAATAATAAAATTACTTTTATTTCTGTGAAACATCAATTCAGTTTTAAAATATGAATAAGGCTCTGAACTTCAGTTGCCTAATGACCAAGTTCTTTTCTCAGACATTTGATTAAAGCCTTCATTTGAATTTGCATTTCTATTATTTACTCCTATATATTAAAATCACTTTTAAGAAGCTGAAGAGCACACAGGCTTTCTCTTTCAGACTGATATAGAATAAATGGCATTCAGTTTCAGAGTTCACACATGATAGGGCATAAAATGTTAAACTGCTTAGAATAGACAGCTAAACCTCTCAGTCTTAGCCCTATGATGGATTCAGCTCTGCTATCACAGTGGAAAAGAATAACAGAACAGCCATGGAAACAACAATCCAACCAAATCTCCATGCTCATCCCATCTTAAGCTTGAATCAGGCACACTCTTAAATGTGACCTATATTGTAGCAGTTAGACAATGAGAACAGTGCTTTATTCATAGCAGATATTCAATAAATTTATAACTGAGGTACCATTATATTATTTTATTTTTGTTCCTTCCCCCAAACTTTTTTGCTAACATATTATAGTTGTACATAATAGTGGAATTTACTGTTACAGATTTCTACATGCACATAATACAATATAACTTGGCCAATATCATTCTCATTATTTCAATTAAACACATTTATGCTTCCCCATACAAACCTTTTTTTGTTTTATAACTTTATTTAATAATTTGCTATAAAAATATGGAACACTTCATGAATTTGCTTATCAATTTTGTATAAGGGCCATGCTAACCTCTGTATCATTCCAATCTTAGTACATGTGCTGCTGAAGCAAGCACACAAATATTATAATACCTTATAAAAGTATTTTTCAAATAAAAACCTAATACTCAAATAATTTATATGTCTCCTCAAATTATAACAACAACAAAGAGCAGGGGAGGGGGGGGGGGGGAGAGAGAGAGAGAGAGAGAGAGAGAGAGAGAAGGGAACTTGACAAAGATACTGCTTCAAGTCCATGAACTGATATATTCAGAAGCTCCCCCTAGTTACTAATGTCATCACAAGGGGCTTCCTACTCATACAGATCACTTTGTGCTTTAGACAGTACCAAGTTTCCTGCTTTAAGTATCACTATGGCCGTATTTTCCCTACATTATCCCTGCAAAACATGTTAATCTGAATAGGACACTTTGGAGAATAAAAAAAAAAATTAAAGAATAACGTATATCAGCCCTCAGACAAAGTATTGCCCACTGGTAATTCCATTCCAAGATTTGGAATTCTAAATTTTGTGTTGACTTTATACCCAAATTTGAGAGATTAGCCTATTCCCACACAAATGAACTAATTAACACACTTTAAAAAATACTTCATCAACTATAAATACAGGACTGTTTTTTCTGATGAGGAGATTCAGAAAAAAATAACAGAAGATACACTGATCCTGTCTTCAAAGAACTAGGCATCTATTGGAGAAGACAAAACTAATAAAATTTGGCATATAGTTACCCAGAAAGATAAAAATATAAAGTACATCTTAAAGACATGGGTGGGATCACCACTCAAAATTACAAAAATGAAAAATGAAGATAAATGAATATCCTTGTTTTTATTTGTTTGGTTTTGGTACTGGGGATTGAAGCCAGGGGTACTTTATCACTGAGTTACATCCCCATCCCTTTTTATTTTGAGACAGAATCTTGCAAAGTTTCTAAGAAACTTGTTAAATTAATGGGACTGGCCTCAAATGAGATTCTCCTGCCTCAGTCTCCTGAGTCACTGGGATTATAGGTGTATGCCACTGTGCCTGGTTATTCTTGCTTTTCTCATTGCAGTCACCAAACCCTTCAAGACAGCCTTGACTATTCCTACCTCCTTGACATGAGCATCATCAAAATACATCCACTTGCGTATCTTTGTTTGAAAAAAGAATGTAGAATAATGTTTGCCATAATAACAGATCATTCCTACTAAGTACAGTTCAGACTGCTTGGCCCGGTCATCTGTCACTCTGAAAAATAGCTATAGGAAAAAAAAGAAAAGAAAGAACTGTTACATATTCAACCATTTCACATCACCTCTCAGTAGGCTCCTCCTCCCTTGCTTCCTCCTCCCTTCAGTCTAAGTTTTTTTTTTTACTAGTCCAGATTAATCATCAGAAATAAACCTAAACATCCACAAGACTGGGATCCTAATTAGAATAAGATATATTTCATGCTTATATAAACATATCAAAATGGATTCTAACTAAAAAGAACAAATAAAAATTTAAAAAACAGAAATAAACTTAAGAAGGGAAAAGGAAGGAAGGAAAAGCAAGACAGATGGTGGTCAGTAAGCTGGCAAGAGGTGATGTTTTCTTCATATTTTTCAATATTTTCTCCCTGAAGCCTATCAGGAACCTAGAAAGTGTTTTTATTTAAACACTCTTAATTTTCAAAGGCTTCTTATCAGCTGACCACACAAACCTACATTTCCTACAACAACTTAAGCAGTGGGAAGAAAGTCCTTAGGAGGAGCAATACAACAATTCTGGTTACCAGCATTGCAATTCCTAGGTACCCAACATTGTCCTGAGTACTAAGAGCCACACAAAAACATTTGAGGAAAAGGATTCTGGCCTTGAGGAACATAAATGGTTGAGAAATAAACATAAAATTTAAACAAAAAAGTACAGAATATGCAGACTATAGAAAATTTTTAAAAAGAGATTTTGCTGTGATAGCCTTCTCAGGTCAGATACCTTGAGGAGATCTAAATTAAGTTCCCAGATACTTTATTTATCCTCAATAATGAATTAACTTTAAAACAATGAAGGCTTCCCTTAGTCAAAGGACTATCCTAGAGAGAAACTAGTAGAAAGAAAGCTAGACTTTCTATTCTTCTTGAACTGAAGGAAAACCCTGGCTGTACCTACATTAGGACATAGATTGGATAAAGTAGAGATCCAATCTGAAGACTTCTTCCCTATTTCCCTAAATAAATACACCTCAAAAAACACTAAATTGGGGCTGGGGTTGTGGCTCAGTGGTATAGAGCACATGTGAGGTACTGGGTTCAATCCTCAGCACCACATAAAAAAAGATAAAAGTATTATGTACAACTAAAAAATATATATATATATAAAAAAACCAAAACACTAAATTTTCTTCCAAGCTGCATCATTACCTTCTCAACAGATAGTGGTTTCTTATATGCCTGGGCTCAGGTATCAACTCCTTCAAATCCCATAGCAGATATGGTCAGGATTGCTCACACCTTTGACCTTACTACCTTTTGTTATATATACTTTGCTATACCATGCTGTTATAAACAACAATAAATAGAGCATGCAATAACTCTATTGATTAATTCACTTTTACCAGGAGCTAAGCTCTATGAATCCTATCCTTTCTAAGGTCAAAATCATCCCATTTCTTCTAAAAAGCCTTTACCAACCTTCACAAAGGAGATATGTGAGCATGTATATACAGGTACAGGTATCTATATAAATAAGCATGAGTATATCCATCCAAAACTCTATAATACGTGTCATCTAAGACATACCTTTTTGTGCAGTGCTTGAGCAATACTAAGATACAAGAACTCTAAGTGAGAGATAAAGGTAACTAACACGCACATCACCCAACTTAAGGCAGGTGCCCAGACTGTGGATAACATCTTCTGCCAAGTCTGAATGGTCGGAGTCCCATACCAGCCCAATTGTGATAATCTGCGGAGCATTCATCAACACACGTCGAATCCGGATCCTCTCTCCACAGTTGCTCTGAAATATATATACCATGCTAAATCAACAAGTTTCCCACTGACTCTGCCTCAATTCCACTGAGTCAAGATTCTCCTTCTCACTCTGAACCCCCACAACTTAACTTACGGGACAGTTCCGCAGATCCCCCATGGTGCTGGCGTTCTGCAACAGCTCACCAAACATGCTTGGCGAAGGTTTTTCTCGTCTTTCCAGCATACAAATAGCCTGATTGCTTCAAGATGGGGCAGGGGGGAGACAGAGGGGAGTAATGGTGGAACTTGTACTGAGTCATGGTTAAATTTGTTTAAAAAATCATTCATACAAACTCCTAATTCACATGTTTGATTTTCTTCCTCTGCCCAAAATCCACAGCCCCTTATCCTGACCAGCCTCAGTGTCCCACAAACACAATGAGTACTGCTACCTGTCCCAAAATCCAAAGCTCATAGAATCCCCACTTCTCCTCCCACTTTGCTGACCAGAACTGAGCCTAAGAAAAGAGGAGGGATGGGAGGGGAAAGAAGGAGAACAAAAGTTATTTTTAAATAAATAAGTGTTCTGAGTTCAGAACACAGATTCAGCAATAAGGATATATGTTATTTGGTGGCCTTCAGTTAAAGTCCAATAAACTGGTGGAGTGTCTAAGGGTATAACAGAGAACTCTCTAAAACTCACCAAAGGGAAGTAGTGGAGATGTAATGCACCATCTGGATGAAAGGCAGGGGATCAGAAGTGGCACCACAGCTAGTACATACACACTGGGCCAGGGAGAAAAAACAAAACTTAAACAGCCGGTCACAATGTTTTGTAACCCATTTAATAACCCATATCCCAGGATCAAGTGTTCTTGAAGGAAAGATATAAGAAATGGGGGCAAAGATAAGGGATCACCTGCTCAAACAACGTCATTGCAAATTTCTGGTGGGAAATGCAGTGTTGGGCAGTACATATATCTTCTTTGGTTTCATCAGCAATATGGAAGTGAATTCTCATCAGGAGGTTTTCCTAACAGGGAAAGAACAAAAGCAATATACCAACAATACTTAAACAGACAAATGGACAAACTAGTAAACAATTTACCCAGAAAAATAGTAATCCTCCTGGAAAGGAGGAAGAACACTGATTCTTTTTTAGCATACATTAATTTTATTTGCTTATTTTTATGTGGAGCTAGGGATCGAACCAAGCGCCTCACACATGCTAGACAAGCATTCTGCCACTGAGCTACAGCCTCAACCCCAATCAATACCACTGATTTTTTTTTTAACCTTTTTTCAAAAAATAACATCAACAGCCAGTCTCAGGAAATCAAAGGTGGAATGTTTTCTCTCATATGTGGAAGCTAGAACAAAATAAGGGAAAGGAGGTAAGGAGGATCTGATATCGAAAAGAAATAGGAAAGATCAATAGACTAGAAGGAGATAGAGAGAAGGACAGGAAAGAGAATGCAGAATGAATGTTTTAAAACCATGCTATGTGCAGACATAAATATACCATAGGGAATTTCACCTTTATGTATAAAGCAGAAAGAACAAATAAAAAATAAATAGATAAGCAAAAGGAAACTCCGTAGAGGAAGAAAAACTGGGGGAGGGAGAAGGAAAGGCAAAAGTGGAGGAACATGAACTGAAATCAAATTCTATACATGTATGATATTGTCAGGATTAACCTAACTACTATGTATAACTATAAGGCTATAGTTAATAAAAAAAAAAACTATCAAAAACAGAAAATGAGGACTAGGGTTGTGGCTCAGTGGTAGAGTGCTTGCCTAGTATGCATGAGGCACTGGGTTCAATCCCCAGCACCACATAAACAAACTAAATAAACAAAATGAAGATATTTAAAAACAAAATAAAACAGAAAATGGGTGTCAATATGATCTAATTTATTCAGATTTTATCAGTTTTACATGCACTTGTGTGTTTATGCAATTTTATCACATGTGTAGAGTCATGTAACCTCACCGCAATCAAGACTTAGTGAGAACCTGTCTTAAAATAAAAAATAAAAAAGGGCTAGGGAGGCTGCTCAGTGGTTAAGTGCTTCTGAGTTCAATACCTGGTAAGGCGGGGCGGGGTAGAGAGTGGGAGAGAGAGAGGGGGAGAGAGAGAGAGGGAGGGGTGGGGGGGGGCGAGGGAGGGAAAGAAAATGTCATGTAAATGGGATTATAAGGTATACAATCTTTTGATATTACATTTCACTCAGCACTGATCCCTGAAGATCCATCCAAGTTGTTACATAAATCAACCATTCACTCATTTTCATTGTGGCATAGTATTCCATGGCATAAAAGTACTACAGTTTTACTATCTATCCACTGAAGGACACTTGGGTTACTTCCAGTTTTTTACTATTATGTATAAAGTTTCTATGAACATTAATGTATGTATATATTTTTGTATGACCATAATTTTTTATTTCTCTGGGATATGTGTCCAGGAATGCAACTGATGTATCATATGGTAGAGTTTGCATGTTTAGTTCTATAAGAAATGACCAAACTTTTCCAGAGTAGAGATGCCATTTTCAACAATCCAAATTCTCAGGAGTACCTCTGAGAATTTTTGGCCCAATATTTATCCTTCGATGGGATGTAGATAAGTCTAGATGTTTTTATTTGTTCCACAAAGTCTTTTAAAGATTGGTAGGTACAACACACAATTCAGAAAAGTTAGGATCTTCTATTGAGTCATTGGGGGCAACTCATTTAGCATATCACACTTATATTAGGGACTCAGTTATTCCCTGTTGACTATTTTTAAAACCAGATAAATTCAAAAAGTCCCCAGACCAGCAGCATTAATATCAGCATCACCTAGGAATTTATTAGAGATAGATACTCTTGGGCCCTATCCCAGGCTACTGAATCAGAAGCTCTGAGGGTACAATCCACCAATTTGTATTTTAATGGCTCCTTGGAAACTAAAAGCCAATGTTTTATGCAAAGGCATGCATAAAACTAGCCTAATCCTGAAGGAGAGATAATAAAGTCATTAGGCAATTCACACTGCAATAGGAGAGACACTACAGACATCTGGGAAACTAGAGAACTCCTAGTTATAACTATAAAGATCAGGGCATAGTTAATTTCATCATAAAGTAGTCAGCCCAGGTTGAGACCATTTAGGATACCTGCCCCATATCAAAAAGGGCCAGAGGCCAGCACTTACAAAGCACTCTGCAGCATCATCCATAATTCCCAGCTGGAAACGCTGTTCATCCTGGAATGTCTTTGCCAGAGCACTGCGGAGAGTATCAGATGGAAGCACTTTTTCACTACTACACTGAAACTGGTTAAAGATTCCCTGTAGAGAAAAGATTAGACAAGTGAAAAAGCACAATGCTGTTATTAAGCTTCTACACACACCTCTTTGTCATGTTAGCATCTCTGTACTGACAGCTATAGAAGCAAAAATATTTCCCATGGGTTGATATACTTGCAGTTAGCAATTTTTTTAATAAAAATCAAGAGTCAGAATGAAGGGTACAATCTGTGCTAATATATCATCCATCTGAGTGTGATGCCAAGGACACACATTAGGAGAGACCATTAACATAATGAAGTTACTTTATTTCCCGTAATAGACAGAAGTAGATATTTAGGTTAAAAAACAAAAAAGGGTAAGTTACATGTAAATGGATTGGCAACTTATTCTTTGGGGGCTCATCCTATGAAACTTAGCCCTTTTGTTTTAAATTTTTTAGCTAACATAAAATTTTAAAAGTATAAAAAAGAATATAACAAAAACCTGTTGTCTACCACCTAGAAATAAACATTCCATCATGTTTACTTTCAATCTACAGACAAAGCTAAAGTCTTTTTTTTTAAAGATAATTTTTAATATTTATTTTTTAGTTTTTGGCGGACACAACATCTTTGTTTGTATTTGGTGCTGAGGATCGAACCCGGGCCGCATGCATGCCAGGCAAGCGCACTACCGCTTGAGCCACATCCCCAGCCCGCTAAAGTCTTTTTTAAGACTTCCCCATCTCTACTAGTCACAGTATAATGAGTTTTTTGCATAGTCTTCTGTTTCTAATACCTCTATATACAAATATATAATTATGTAGCATAATTTTGTGTCTGTGTACATTTTGTTCACATCAAAACTATCACACTGAATGTTTCTTGTGTTTTGTTTTTAAATTCAGCATTGTTTTTGAAATCTATCCACATTGATAAATCTCAAAAACATTCTTCTTCTCTACTGCATGCCGTATATTTTTAGATGTTGATGGACCTTTATTTTGTTCATTTATTTATATGCGGTTCTGAGAATCGAATCCAGTGCCTCACACATGCTAGGCAAGCACTCAAGCACTGAGCCACAACCTTAGCTCCTGCACAGTTTTTTAAAATTAATTATTTATTTGTGCTAATTAGTTATACATGACAGCAGAATGCATTTTGATTCATAGTATACAAATGGAACACAATTTTTCATTTTTCTGATTGTACACAAAGTAGAGTCACACCATTCATGTATTCATACATGTACCTAGAAAAATAATGTCCATCTCATTCCACCTCTTTCCTACCCCCATGTTTCCTCCCTTCCCCTCCCTCTCCTTTTCCCTATCCAAAGTTCCTCCATTCCTCCCATGCTGTCCCCAAACTCCCATTATGGATCAGCATCCACTTATCAGAGAACACATTCAGATTTTGTTTTTTGGGGGATTGGCTTACTTCACTTAGCATGATATTCTTCAGCTTCATCCATTTATCTGCAAATGCCATAATTTTATTCTTTTTCAATGCTGAGAAATATTCCATATATATATATATATATA